ACAGACTGTGACGGTATTTTTAGGCCACCATTGTTCACAAATAATGTGAATGCTGATGCAGGTGCAATTTGACTATATAATTCATAGCACAGTAATCATGGTCTGAAGTTTCAGATTTGAAGTGAGAAAGTAGACATCGCTTGCATGATTCACACGATAGTTTTTTGACCAGTTTGAAAACAATGTAACCACTGATGTAAAACAAAATGTTGGACAGAAATTCGGATGTACCTGGTGAATTTAAGTGACTGCAGAGTAGGTCTTCTTCAGGACTGCTTTCAGGTTCGTCCAGGTTATCTGTTGGAGTTTCTTTTAAAGGTGCTTTGTGTTTCTGGGAGTGAAAGAATGGGATAATTGTTGTTGTGGAATCAGAAAATGTCAGGCAGTTGGCATTTTTTTGAGGCTGTGATTGTGTTCCTCAACAGCATTTTCCTCATTGCATACTTCAGTTGTAAGCAGTTCGGGTTATTGTTCCAGCCACCCTGTGCTCTTATACATGAAAATAAGAGTTCAATGTGATCCTGTGAGAACCTGTAAGTAAGCAGATATTTGAAAGCATTTTCACCATTAAACATTGCTGTTGTCATATCAATTGTCGATTTAATAGTTGTGACAAAGACAGTAATGAATGTTTTTCTTTGATGTGTGACCAACAATTGGTTGGTACTGTCATGTTTTCTTAAACTGAGCATAGTTAATAGAGGACAGGGTTTGGAAGGCCGGCAAACTTCAAAGGCTTTCGAGCTAATTAATTTCAGATGTTGGAAAGGTACGTCACGTGACATTTCGGGTGCATCAAATTCAGAAATTACTATAGCGTAGTATTACAGAAATATGATATTGTGCTTATAAATTTTAAAATAGGGCATTGTTGTTCTTGTTATGGCTTCGACAAGTTCGGCATACGATTCAGAAAGCAAAATTCACCCAATTCTGGGTGCTGGAGACGCAGATACAACGACGGAGGCGATTTTCATCGAACTATTTAGCTGCTGCAAAACAACGCGGATAAATTAACTGAAGAAATATCGCGTTCAGTTGAAGAAGTAAGTCGTTTATACTGTGTCCAATTAAACAATATGTAGTGAGATGCCTTAGACGGCTTAATATTTGACTTATATTTGTCGTTTAGATTGAAGGATTAAAGCAATTCCCGTGCGAATATCGACGCAGTATTAAGCACTCGACAAATTCTACAGCTAGTACTGCCAATTAAGGAAAATCAAAACCCATGTTATATGACTTATCACGCATATGAGAAGGCATTGTCGATCATTCGAGAGGTAGGGAAAAGGAAAGAATATTTTCATCCATGCAGAGAAGATAAAGTCGTGCTTTTGATGCTGGTGAATATGCCCGAACGGTTGACTTTGCTATTAATACCAGCAGATATTCTAAAGTTATTATAAACACTGAAGAAACTGCATGCTTTATTACCAGTAAATATCTTAATACTGTATTATTATATAGACAATATACTGTAACCTAGATATGAATGTCTTAAATAGTAGGCCCTAAGGCTTATGTCCAATTGTCAATTACAAGTCAAGATATTGACCAATATACAGCGATTCAATGTCTACTAACATGTGATTGTTACTTTTGATCATTCCGTCACATCAAAATAGAATGTTATTCCAAAATTCCATGATATTTCATGCCCATCCCACAGTTTCCAAGACCAAGTCTTATAATATATTAGACAAAGGAGATATCAAAGGAAATATCATACAGAGGAAATATCAAATTTTGATATTTCCTCTGTATAGTACAATATTGACCTAAGGGTATTAAACTTAGTTCTTATTCCTCTCCAAATGCTTTGTAGACCAACTGTTGGATGCCAGAAGATGTTACCTGTGTGCAAAGGATTATATACCCAGAAATATTTTTTAATGTTTGTATTCTGCTAGTAATTATCAGTGAAATCAGAAGAGTTTGGACCACCCAGCTTATGTTGCTGGGAAGGGGCCGTCAGCCCTGTGGGTACCAAATTCATGACTTAATGATATTGCTAGAATTGCTGAATTGTACTTTAGAAAGCACACAAGAATTAAGGCAAACCTACTTCTTTACACGTTGATAAAGTTATTAAGAATGTCCAAGCTCCTCCATTAGCAAAAGGTTTGTGGAATGACATTATTGAGCAATCTAATAGCATTGCAGTATCAAAAGAATGCCAGTACGTCCTTGTGTTTTGAGAATATTGGTAAACTGTATGGCTGTTAAGTTTCAAATTTTGCCATTTGTCGTGCTCCAGCCCGATTTCTGGTTCTGAAAGGCCCGATTCTCAGCCAAAGAGTGCACGTCAAGCAGGCTGGTCATTTCATTGTTTAACTGCCCCACACTCAAAGGGCACTTTTTGCATCTTCTGAAAACTTGGGGGGCCTTGGCCCCTGGTTCCTATGCCCCTGGTTGACAGCCAATGGACCTTTCCCATTATAACTAAAATTTCGATCTAGACAAAAATTTCATCACAGCTTGAAAGAGCGTCACAAAATTAGTAAATATTCCAAAATTTTGTTGCAAAATCTTGTAAAATGCGGATAATATAGCCTTGCGAAGTTTGCCGTTTTTCAGTCATTTTGTATTACAAACGGGAAATTGACAGCCCAATCAGGTGTTGGGGCTGCAATTTCCCATTTGTAATGCAAAATGACTGAAAATTGGAAACTTTGCAAGGCTCTATTTTCCTCATTTTACAACATTTCGCAACAAAACTTTGGAATATTACTAATTTTGTGATGCTCTTTCAAGCTGTGATGAAATATTTGTCTAGACTTGCCTAGATCAAAATTTTGGTTTTTAGGGGAAAGGTCTATTTCAGATGTGAATAGTGTACTTATTCACTACGTCAGTGTGCTCTGATTCTAGCCGTTGTTGTCTCTCAAACCATGATAACTCAAAGTTGAGCCTACCAATGTCTTGTCTATTTGAAGTGAAACAAAATTTTGTGTAATAGTGATTTACTGTATATATTAGTATAAATTTTTACAAATTATTCAACTAAGGTTAATAATATATTGTTCTAGTCTTATTGTTCACCTATTCATTTATAATCTGTTTTAATAATTATTTTATAACATATGTACAAATTATTGCATATTACTCTTTTGAAGCAGTGCTGTCATTAAGTTTACAAGTAGGTGGCATACCCCTAACCCTGAAATCTAAACAATTGGAAATGCCATTCCCTGCATTTGGGAAGGTATTTTACACATTCCCTGCATTTTGGAAGGTATTTTACAGAGTTCTTAAGATTACAAAACATCCTATCAAAGCCTGACCTGTTTGAAATCATTTAATCTTTTGTTTTAATTTTGATATTCTGGCTAGAGGAAGTAAAAGGTTTGTTTATTGCTTCACAGTTTTGTTTATATGAACTTTGTTCAGACAGAAGTAGGCAAGCTACGGGCCCTTAATGACAGCTCTGGGTACAAAAACCCCACAAAAGTTCTCACTAGATTACTTCTGTTTATGTTACGGCAAGGCCTTTTCTAATCCACCATACCATTTATTCCTCTGACCAGTGTGACAACCAGCAATGTTACCTGGCTCCAATTGTCGATGTAGAGAGGTATGCTTTTCTGGGGTAAATTAAAGATAGGAATAGACCAGCTACAAGCCTTTTGCAGGTGGGAACTATTAAAGCAGAACATAAAATATCTGATTATATACAGTAAGTTGACTTAATTTATACAAGTATTGTTAAGATAGTAATTATAATAAAATTCACAGCAAACACGATTTATAATCACTGTAAATGGGGCTTTCATATGCTATGACAGTGTCCTGAATAATATGTATACCTTCATTTTATGAACACAAGGATTAACTGTTATGTAAATATGACCTAATGACCGAAACGCACTTTTATGCAAATCATTAATATTTAATATATTTTTCCTGCTCTATGACCATATGGTTAATACAGATTTGATCATTTGATACATGAAATATATACAGTACTTCTGCTAAGTTGTAACTTTCAAGCGTTGATACAGAAATATCAATACCTCTACCAGAGAAAGAAAATAACTTACATGTTTCGGCTTGGTCTTTTCAAAGTGTCATTCACAAACGCGTGAAGTATTTGTTGAGCTATTTGATTTCTTAAACTTGCATCTATCTTTCGATCCAGCGTCCTTTGTGACAAGCTTCGCCAACGCTTCGCGAATTTTCGTCGATAAATCGTCGTCTTTTGTTGGATTTCAAAAAATACTGAGATCAAAGTGTTTTCTACTAGTCCCGCAACCATGTATGGAGCAATTTGCACCTGGTATTTGGATATTCTTTCTGTAAAAGACGTTTTTCAAGTACTACTCCCTAGTGATGGGCGATACCGAGTACTCGGTATTCGATACCAGCGATACCACAAACAGCGGTATCGGTATCGATTACTGACGTGGTATCGTTCGATACTTGCACCCTTTTTTAAACGACTTGTTTAATTTCACTTCTTGGTTGAATAAGACTTAATAAACCACTAAAATAACTCTTAATATTCCAAATGTGATGCGCCAACTCATGTATAGAAAATATTTATTACGTTTCGGGCATTTGGTTTACTTATAGCTTTATTTAGGTTACATACAGTAATGTAAAATGTTTTTCCGCTGACCGGCAGGTATCTAAAGTAGCCGATACTAGAAATTTAAGTACTCACTTCCGGTATCGAAAATTGAAATTTTGTGTTCATTTTGGTATCGAAATAGGTATCGGTATCGGCCGATACCGATCTTAAAAGTATCGGTATCGGTATCGAATTAAAAATTCTGGTATCGCCCATCACTACTACTGCCTCCTCTGTAATACAATCTCCTATTACAAATAGATTTTGATGCACCCATATTGTCACGTGACAGAGAACAATAACATAATTTGGCCACGCCCCCAGCTTCCAAACCCTGTCCTCTATTAACTATGAACTGAGCAAATACTCAGCAGAATGCTTCAAGATTTCTTTCCATGTATTTCTCGATTGAGGACGCAGTGGTTGTTTAAATCCTTTTGTCAAATAATCTATCCACTATTCTGATAAATTTAACAGTGCCGATTGAGTTTTGAAATTCTTTAAGTTTCATTGATTTATCTAAAAATTCAATAGCGTCTGCTACAGATGAGCTAAGGGTTTGAGCTGCTAGTTGGACATTCATTTTGTGCTTCAAAAACTGGAGATGTCTTGATGAAAACTTGTTTGCTAATTGGAAACCTTCACATTCTTGGATTTTATTGAGTGATGAAAATAATTTCCATGTAATAATATTGTTTTCACAGTCAACGATAGAGCCTAAGTGACCCAAAGCATTCCTTGCCAATTTAAGCATGTGACATGGGTCCAAAATTGCATATACGAAGTAGTTTTGAGTAGGGTGTTTAAACTTGGTAATCATGCTTTCATATGATGTTGTAAACTTGCAGCCAAGTTCACTGAACATGGTGAAATTGACAGAAGTACCATCTGCTGTTACAGAATAGACACGTAATCCAGCTTCAGCTGCCATAATGAGTGCTTCCTGAACCAACTTGGCTTGCATTTTTCCAGTCATTTTGTCAGTGAGAAAATATCCAATAGGACATTTCCAATTACTTCTGGCCCCCACAAGAACAGATACTAGTGCTTCTGATGCATATTGATCTGGTTTACTGGTAGGTATAGCTATATCCATAGTCTACAAACCCCACATACTTATCATTTTTAGAGTCCCATAGAGTTTGCTTCTTAATTGCCATCCCATCAATTATAAGACAACAGTCTTTCTTTTCAGGACTGAGCAATGCTTCCTTTTTTAGGGATTCAAATGACTCTTTAAAGAATCCTGGATTGCACTCAACAACACTTGACCACTTTCTAATAAGTGATGGATGTGGTAGTGGAATTATTGACCTTACATATTCGTATGCTTTTGGTGAGTAGTAATTTAATGTTGTTGCGAATTCTTTGACAACGTCTACATATCTCCTCCCACAAGGATCACAGCTAACATTATTTTTTGTGTCTCTGAAAATGGCAAGTTGCACCCCATCAAATTTTGCCGAAAGTAGTTCTGCATCATC